CTCATAGACGTCTATGGGAGCAGAGGAGTCGCCCCCTGCTGGTCACTACAGAGAAGTAGAGTCATTTCCTCATAGACGTCTATGGGAGCAGAGGAGTCGCCCCCTGCTGGTCACTACAGAGAAGTAGAGTCATTTCCTCATAGACGTCTATGGGAGCAGAGGAGTCGCCCCCTGCTGGTCACTACAGAGAAGTAGAGTCATTTCCTCATAGACGTCTATGGGAGCAGAGGAGTCGCCCCCTGCTGGTCACTACAGAGAAGTAGAGTCATTTCCTCATAGACGTCTATGGGAGCAGAGGAGTCGCCCCCTGCTGGTCACTACAGAGAAGTAGAGTCATTTCCTCATAGACGTCTATGGGAGCAGAGGAGTCGCCCCCTGCTGGTCACTACAGAGAAGTAGAGTCATTTCCTCATAGACGTCTATGGGAGCAGAGGAGTCGCCCCCTGCTGGTCACTGCAGAGAAGTAGAGTCATTTCCTCATAGACGTCTATGGGAGCAGAGGAGTCGCCCCCTGCTGGTCACTACAGAGAAGTAGAGTCATTTCCTCATAGACGTCTATGGGAGCAGAGGAGTCGCCCCCTGCTGGTCACTACAGAGAAGTAGAGTCATTTCCTCATAGACGTCTATGGGAGCAGAGGAGTCGCCCCCTGCTGGTCACTACAGAGAAGTAGAGTCATTTCCTCATAGACGTCTATGGGAGCAGAGGAGTCGCCCCCTGCTGGTCACTACAGAGAAGTAGAGTCATTTCCTCATAGACGTCTATGGGAGCAGAGGAGTCGCCCCCTGCTGGTCACTGACTTCTGCTTTTACTAAATATTTGCACAATAACATTATGATTTTATGAAAATTCTTTAGTTGAAATAACTTTGTTTCAAGAGGATCCTCAAAGACAATTGAACATATTTTAAAATCCAATATAAAGATAATGAAATAACTCAAAATATTACAAAATTACAAAAACCATCAATAAAATCTAAGACAATATCTAATCAAACGTCACAATATCGATAAAGAAACAATATTGTGAAATCAGAATAGAACCAGAAAGGAGAGAAAACGTTATTTCTTGTTGTGTAAAAATGGTCTGAAGTCCTTCACCCCGAAAACAACTGTGGGAATGCTGCTGGAGGGACGCCACACCCCGAGCATTGTGGGTAACTCAATGATTTTCACTCACTCATTCATTCATTCATTCACTCTCCTGCTGCTCTTTATTTTCCCTTTAAGGAGAAAAGGAGGATTTGGGGGGATTAGGATCCCCCCCCAAGGGGTTTAGATTATGGAAACACACACACTGAGCCCCCCTCACCACACACACACACACACACACACACTGAGCCCCCCTCACCACACACACACACACACACACACACACACACTGAGCCCCCCTCAACACACACACACACACACACACACACACACTGAGACCCCCTCACCACACACACACACACACACACACAGACGCCGAACCCCCAATGCCACACCCACCAACCCATACTGCGGCCCACTCACAGATGGAACAAATATCCATGTTGAAATTTTCAAAAGGGTCCAAAATCCAGTGTGCCTGCAAATATGAAAAGGATCTCACTTGATACCAATTGTTTCCATAATTTATTTTATTTTAGAGGTGTTTTATATTCCTTTTGTCAGACAGTAGCACTTAACAACATTATCTAAGATACAGCAGATGAGATATTTATCATGCGGAAAATGTTGTGCCTCAGTCCTGCAGTTAAATGCGACTATGCAACATCCTACATTCCTTTTAAATAGTGTTGATGAGCAATGGTAAGATGTAACAATGTTAAGAGAAGATTATAAAAGCGTGTCTTTGCAAAGCAATACTAATGATTTGAACTGTGTCTCGTGAACATAAAACTGCTGATGTGACAGTTTCTCCTTTCCTGTCTGATGGGTTTCATTAAATCTGGAATGCTATTATTGGGCATAA